GCTTCATGAAGGAAGCCCCCAAATGAATTGGGTATTTGAATTTATGCGTCACAAACAAAGTTTGGACAAGGAAATTTTTACAAGCAACTTTTTTCCAAAAAAGTATAATGCTTGGTCGAACTGAACACAAGTTAGAAATTAAAGCTTTGAGCATGAAAGCGACTTAGCTGGTTAATGTGTTCGGTATTGATGACGCGGTCTGAGCTTGATGCGGGGCAAGGTTCCATCCCCCAAGCTGGTCCCGAGGTGGCGGAGCGGAGAGCTCGACACGCCGAAGTGGTGACATAGCATGGTCAATGCAGACCGGCAGAGTGACGCCGAAGTCCCCGGATCATTTTCCTGTACACAAAAAATAGTGCAAACCGGAGATAATAGTAATAATGATAATTAAAAAAATGTTGCATAATAAATAATTTATGCAAAGTGAGGAATAGAAGAAATATGGCCTGGCGCCAAAGTCAATGTCGATGCAGGGCGTCGGCGTGATGTAGTAAAGGCGTGGCAAAGCCTGAATTCACAGGTCGGTCCGAGCTCCGGATGCGGCGTTCGCCGGACTATGTACGGAAACTGATCGAACCACCACGCGACCGTCGTTAATGCGGTCACCATTTGATAGACCTAGTTTATTTGTTGTAGCAATCTGAAGGAAGGTGATTCCCAAAATTGGGACTCGCTCCGCACACCCATTGCCTGATGGGCGATAAAACGACGGCATGGCAATGCTGGTAAAGGTTGACTCGCCGAGGCAAAGCCCTCGGCCCAGCTAACATGACGGAGCTGGTCGGCTAGTGACGCCGAAGTGTCCGGAGTAGGTTGATGAAGAGATGGCGAGGCCCCCGGTCCAGCCGAGATGTCGAAGCCTCGACGTCAGCCGATGAGTCGAAGTATGTCGGCGTGATGGACACCAGCTTGAAGAAGCAATAGTGCGGCCCTGTCGATGCAGGTCATGACGTGGTCGATGCCGGCTTGATGAAGCGACCGTGCGGCGATGCCGGTATGCCCGCTCCGTGTAATCCGTGGGGCGGCGATGTTGATGATGATTTATCCTTCGTGATGCCGGACTCTTGTTCGGCTTGCCGAGATGATGATCCGAAGAAGTTGAGCTCGGCTAAAGTGACGACGTGTCTAGCGCAGGTCGGCAGCCGTGGAGTAATATTGCCGGACTGGTTTGACACCAGCATGATGTTAAAGATCATGTTCAAAAGATCTTAAAGTTAGTGGGATGTGTTCGGGAATAAAACACAATACCCCATACAAAACTTCCTTCAAAAGGGACGTCCGAAATCCCGTTCATAAAAAAGATGAACTCGGGTCGGATTCATTTTCGCGCAGAAAACAGATCCGAAAAGTGATGCACTAAACGGAAGGTTCCCGGAGTTTGGACGGTCGGATCGAGCTGAAATTTTGAGAGATGGTAGATATAGGAATTCCGCAGCCGATCAATGGTTGGATCTTCCAAAGGACGTCCGAGCTAGAAGCTGGACACCACGCCCTAAACTCATCCAAATTCCCATCCAGATTTGACAGGGCTCCGGTATATCATGGATTGCCAGAGATTCCTCCATCGGAACTCGACGAAATTTTCCAGGGTTGTTATAGACTCAATTCCGCACAATTCCACCAAAGCGATCGTCAAAGCAATACTCAAGGAGGTGGTGGCGGCAGATACGAGTTCGCTGTCCAAAAAAACAGCACGCTCGCTTGAGAGCAATGTTGATGTTGAGCCCCCGAGCTCCATAGATGATTCCTCCGTGTTCTTGATAGAGATCGGAGTTGATGTTTGATGAAGGCCCTCGTCCGAACATGATGATCCGAACACGGGGCGCAATTCTTGGTCGAACCAAGGTGACCAGTCGAACTGGCGACGAAGACGCCGAAGTTGCAGTTGATCTGCAGGCGAGCCATCGATCCTTTTGTCGATCACACAGCGGAACTCTCAATGAAAGCACCAATGTCGGTGTCAAAACCGGCGGATCTCGGGTAGGGGGTCCCGAACTGTGCGTCTAGGCCGGATGGTAACAGGAGGCAAGGGACACGAAGTTTTACCCAGGTTCGGGCCCTCTTGATGGAGGTAAAACCCTACGTCCTGCTTGATTAATATTGATGATATGGGTAGTACAAGAGTAGATCTACCACGAGATCGGAGAGGCTAAACCCTAGAAGCTAGCCTATGGTATGATTGTTGTTCTGTATATTCTATCGACTAGCCTGGCCCTGGTTTATATAATGCACCAGAGGCCTAGGCTAACAAGAGTCCTAGCCGAATACGCCGGTGGGGAGAAGTCCTTGTCTTGATCGCCAAGTCTTTGTGGGATCTTCCTTGTATGCGGCAGCTGTCCGAACTGGCCCATGAGTATACGGCCATGGGGGGCCTCGGCCCAATCTAATAGATCGGGAGACGATGTGGTGAGTACCCCCTAGTCCAGGACACCGTCAGGAGGCGCCGGGTAGTTCGCTTCGTGGAGGATATGGGCTTCCCACTCGTGCAGAGAGCGGCGGCCGAAGCCATTGGTCGCCGCCCCATCGTTGGGGAACCTTTCGGCCATCGTCTGTGCATGCACGGGGAGAGAGGGAAAGAGAGTTCGACGGCGGCGGCTGTGCGTGCACGGGGAGAGAGGGGGGGCTGCGGACGGGGTGCGTCCACCGGCGAGGCAGGGGCAGCTTATATAGCGGCCAGGGGCGTCGTGTGTACGCATGGCGAAGGGGGCATGTCGCCTCACCGCGCGCCCGTGAGAAATCAATGGAAGGCTGACGCCCCCGGGTTCGTCCTGGGTCCGCCGACTTCTGGGGCCGTGACTGAGCCGTTTTTTCAGCGCCGGCACTAAAAATGACCTTGGGAGGCCTATTGGGGGTGCGACTGGAGATGCCCTTAGAGCATCTCCAGTCGTTGGCCTCCCCAAGAGGCATATTTTTCGCCGCCTGGGGGGCTGCCGGCGAAATTTTTGGCCTGGGGGGCCAAAATTACCCACTCGTTGCCCCTCACTAGCTCGACGGCGAGGCGAGGAAGACGCCACGATGATCCCGCCGCAGTCCTCGCCATCTCACGTGACTCGTTGTGCCCCGTCGCTCGCCCGCCTTGATGAGCACCGGCAGCAGCACAGCAGCGCGCGCGGCAGGACCAACTCGCGCCAGCAGCTTGCTCTTGGGGTTGGACTTGCACGTGAACTAGCTGTCGTCCTCCTTGGCCACGCACAGGCAAGCGCGAGAGCGCGCGCACCATGGTCCTGTAGGAGGCGGACATGGCGTTGTCCGGCCGAACGAGCTCGACCGTGCGGCCCGAGCGGCTGAGCAGGGCAGCCACCCAGGCGAGATGGCCAGCCACCGATCGACGCAGTCCTGGTGGAAGGCGCGGTTGCAGCTGGGGAGGACGCGCACGGCGCGGCCCGGCTCCATGGTGTCGAGGCAGATGGGGCAGTGCGCCTCCTCCTCGTCGTCGACTGCGTGCAAGAGCGCCACGAGGCTGGGAGCGTCGGGAATGGGGCTGGAGCGGAGTGGACCGCGCGCAGGAGCGCCACGAGGAACGCACACAAGCTCGAGCGCGGCCTCGTCAAGCCCGCGAGCTCTCCGTTTGGCGGGGCAGCGCGATGCAGGAGGCCGGCGCGGCGGTCCGACACGGGCGCACGGCCGCAGAGGGCTGGCGGGGCGGCCCGGGAGGCCGGGCGCTGCGGGCCGGAGCTGCGGCGGGGAGGCACCGGGGCGGGGTCGGGCGGCCGGGACGCGGGTAGGGAGAGAGAAGCGGATAGGGAGAGAGAAGGCGGGGGCTCGAGGAGAAAGCGACGGGGAGAGAGAGCGTGGGGGGGGAGTTGTGGCTACAGGTGGGCCACACGAGGGGAAAAAATGGCGCCGGCGTCCCCAGCTACCACCCGAGAGGCTGGGTTCGGGGTGAGCTCGCCGGGGCTAAATTTACTTAAATCCAGCAAAAAAACAAAGTGTTCGGGACGTGCGTGGAGCATATTTTTAACGCCGGGGCTAAAAAAATGGTGCTCGGGGTGTTCTTGGGAGCCTAATGGAGATGCTCTTACACTACTGCACGATTCCCGCTTTAGACCACTCGGCTACACAACACCTTGTCTGCAAGATACAACCACTCTTATTAGAGATGTTTGTTTGTCGTGTGTATTACAGTTTCTTCGGTCTTGACCACATCATTTACTAAAAATATAGACTGACGCATTATCACATTTGGATGCGACCATCCTAAACTGATGGTAAAGCATAATTGATGTTTAGCCTGTCAAGCAATATATACTACTCCCTCCGTTTCTAAATATAAGTCTTTTCAAAGATTTTAATATGGACTACATACGGAGCAAAATAAGTGAATATGAACTATATACTACATTCTAAACTACGTTTATATACATCTGTATGTAGTTCATATTGAATTCTCTAAAAAAGACTTCACGTATTTAGGAACGGAGGGGGTAAATCGTACTCCCTCCCCGTTCCATAATTCTTGTCTCATGATACTAGCACATGTCAATTCTCATCACAATCAAGGGTGAATGAAATGCTCCAGCATTATAGAACTGTTGGACTGCATTGAGTAAAAACCATTCTGTCTCACGATAAGAGCTGGGCAAGGCCGCGAGGGCAAAATAGGGCAGCTGTATCTTATGTTACACTCATCTCATTTTGACAGACGAGGCTAAACTGTAGTACGACTACATCAACGAACATAAAAGCATGTCATCACTTCTCATCTCATTTTCAATTCAATTAGCATTACAAAAGTGTGAAATCAGCAAGCACAAAGACTCGGCAATCGCGCACCACCTTTTAGTGTTCCCGCAGGATTGCAACATGCTGGCTAAAACTTGACTCTGGTCACCAAATCACTTATTGTTTCCATCAAGCTGGTTTCGGAAATTTGGATATTGCCGATTTCTGAAACTTGATTCCTTTCGGAAATCCGAATAGTGCTGATCTCAGGGACTTGGTCACGTTGGAAACCCCGACCAGTTTGATTTATGAAACCCAATCATGACCAGACTTAGTTTCTATGTTTGCCGAGGAAAACCCTGACTCGTTCTGGCTTCTGGCCTTTTCCAGTTCTGCTGGCCAAAATTGTTCTCCATATTCATGGGAGCAAACGCTGCATCATAGGGAGACAGTAGATGAGCAAATTAATAAACACACCTGATAAAAAAGCTCCAGGAAAGAAACACCAACGGAACTTTACATGCAACACTACCTAACAGTGCAAAAAGAATTTGCAGGGTTGTGGTGTCGAGCAGCCATTGATATTTCACAAGAACCATGCAATTTTTAATTTTATGCAACCAATCAATAATGACAGGATAAACAAAATAATCCAGCATCAAGACATGATATTTACCTCGCTCTCTCATTCTCCTTTCTCTGTCATACTCAAACTTGTCACGAATTTGAGTAACCCTTTCCCATGTTTCACCCTGTTTGCTTTCCCCAAAACCAAGGTCCTGCAGTACAAACTTATAAGTGACAACACCTGTGACTCGCAAATGTAGTGTCATTGACACGGTTGTTTAATGATGCGGCAAAAGATACTCAAAGAACTGAGGATAAATGGAAGATCCAGATCAGGAAGCTACACAAATGTCACACAGATACATAATGTTTGGACAATTTAATTCATTTAGCCATGATTATTGTCGAGGATAATTTGTCGACGCCTGACAGCAGTACGGTAGTCACATGTGATTTATGCAGTCACGGGAACGTCACCTCAGGTCACCGAGGGGATCTAGAACATGATATGTCCAGGTTTGGGCCCCGCTTGCGTGGGTAATAGCCTGCTCCTGCCTTTGATGGTATTATATGAGAAAAGTGTACAATGTCAACTAATATCAGTTACAAAGAGTAGATCCAGCAAGTTGATAGGCAACTCGACGGGCAATGGTGGTCGATCTAGGCAATATGCACCATGATCATTAGGGTTTCAAGAGCTCTGGATTGCTTGGCCCCTCTTGCGGGATCATGGACGCCTTTATATAGGCCCTGTATAAACCCATGCCGGTAGAGCCCCGTTTATACGGTATACACAGTGCTGGGGTATGGTAATTCGAGTTACTACCATCAATTACTCTTGTGCAAAGCCAATAGCATCATCTTCGTCCACAACCTTAAAGTTCAAACTACCCCATTTCCAAAATTAACAAGGTGTAATCGTCCTTGTAAACTGAGGTGCAACAATGTACTAGCTTGTTGTGTACTAATTCAACATCAGATTTCCCAATAACTCTCATCACAATCAGGAAGTTGTATGGTCCAACTGAAGCACCCACACTGGCACCTATGGACATAGCCAAACATAAACTTCAGCAACGCACAGTGAAAACTAAGCTTAATAATTTAATTTGGATTTAAACACTTGAGCAAAGGTCCTGCTCAGTGTTTTTGTGACTGCGGGTGCTCACATACACTAGGGTCACAGAGGGAGGCCAGTCCAAAGAAGACAACAGGAGCAGCAGCAGCATTAAAAAAAGAGGGAAACACGGTCACTTTGTTCATGTCACTGGTTTCGTTGGTTTCAAAACACAACAAATCATTGATTAACTCTGTTAATTCTGTCATCTGTTCTAGGTGGGCTGTTTGGCAGGTATGGAGAGCGGGTTATCTTGAGACTCTGTTGGGTCTTTGCTACGTGATCATTCACCAATATGCATTTTTAGGTGGTAATCTTATCACGCCGAGGATTCAAAAGTTTGTGGAGATAAGACATGTCTATGCCTCAATTCGCCTGGAGCATATGAGAATAAACCTAAAGAGAGAAAAACTGGGAGAGTGTAAGAAGGTACACTGAGGATTTCTATTTTCTTTAATGGTTCATGCTAGATTTTGTTCAATTGTAGCAAAATCCAGGTAGCATATGGTAATATGGTACTTTTAGGCAGCACTTCCAGTAGAATAGATAGTACAAGGTCAAGACTGACCAACATACAGAGCACAACTACTGTTTCCATGTTACCTGATGTATGCCAAATTAAGATGCCCGGACAAGTACAAAATCTAGTTGGCTTTCCCACACATTCCCAGCAAAACGAGGTGGCTTTCCCACTGCCAGCTTTAAGGGCTTTCGGTGCAAGCCTAAATAATTCACTGAAACAGTTTACTCGGGTTTTTTCCAACAGATCTGTCAGCTCAAGTACTTTTCCTGCTGCCAACTAAAATAGCTTCTGGTAAGCATAAATAATTAGCTGAAACAGTTTACTCAGTTTTTTTCCAACGGTTCTGTCAGCCTGACTCCTAACGGTTTGCAGTATGTGAAGAATATCAGAAAAGCCCGGAGTATTAGCATGCAATCATGCTGCACTACAGCATTCAAGTTCCTGTGCATAACAAAATGGCATGCAACATGTATCAACAGTACAGAGTAGATAAAATACCTTGTTTGGCTCTGCACTGGAGCTCCTTCTCCTGCTGCAATATAAAATTGAATATATGAGACCACTTGAATGAAGATATATTTGTGACGCTAATCTACTCATGACTAGTTGAAAAGATTGCTAAACATTTGGAAGCTGCAATAATCGAATAATGAGAGGAAAGTGCAAAGTTTGTAGTTCTACCCAATATTTATCACATGATTACATTTAAGTAAACTTGGGTTATGTCCTGAAAGAAACCAATTAAAATATATACTCCAAGATATATGTCCAAGTTGTTTCTTCAAGTTTATTAGCTGGGGGAGGGAGGGGCATGTGCACATCTTTTCATTAATTGGAAAAGCTACATCACTGAAGTTTAGAAAGGGCCGGTTCAGTCCATGGTATTTATATTTTGGTGAACACATCTGTGAGATGACATGGCAGCCACATTGTCATCCAACGTCAGCACCCATTTTTCCTAGCTCACTGTTCAAGGCATCCAATAATGATCAGCACATAAATGGAACATGGGAACTGATATTTGAATTTTACAAAATTACTTTTTCATGGCAATGTATAATATATTGCAACACTTGGAAACAAGAAGATCAGCCACATATAGAGTGATGTCAACTCTGGCTCCTTTGACAGTTGAGCAAATAAATTAGATGCTATGACTTGGGCACTAGGATAGAAGGGGTGCTTATGTGGCATGAACACCGTCATGTTATCTCATGGGTCTGTGAGTGACCCAAATTGGAAACATCAAAAGACTAAAGTGGCCTATTATCCAAACTCGAGGGACCAACTTTGCTCATTAGTGTGAAATGAATTATAGAACTATTCAGGGTCTGCTACCTGTATGGTGAGAAGTCTAGATCATCTTCTTCAGCAGAGTCATAATTAGCACGATCTTCGGCAATCTTTTTTGAATAACCTTCATCCCAGTACAACCGTTCCCAGTTCTCTCTAAGTTCTTGGTACAGTTCCATATATTTTTTGCACCAGGTTTCATGTTCCTGTAAGTTTGTGATGGTTAAGTCTAATAATATGAAAGTGAATGGAAGTATTTGAAATCGCTAATAGGATCGAACTTTTGCATAATATAGTCATGTACCTACATAATATCAACAACTATTACATGAAAATGGAGGAAAAAGTTTCCCTTCATTTATTGATGCTAGCATTAACTCCGTTGTAAAAAAAATGTAATTAAGCAGCTGATTCCTGAATACAGCAATCCATTACAGGAGCTAGCCAAACAAACATAACAATTAAACACTCAAGTCATCTTTTCCAATTGGACAACATCAGAGAAAGGAAAGTGAGAACGTTGTAGTGCAAAACTAGGATTGGTATTTGGTCTAAATACTACATATTATCTTGTAAAGTGCTTCGGGATAGCCAGACATGAAATTGATATGAATGGTTCCTTATCTCTTGGATCCTGGATATCTTAAGTCTCAACTTAGGTCTTGTTTGGCAAGCCCTATCCCAACCAAAATGAATTGGGGGTTGGTAGGGGTTAGGTCAGGATCCCAGCAAGGATCAGGCATCCTAAACAAGGCCTTTACTATTAACAACTACTATGAAACATGAGCAGCAAAAGGAAGTTGAACATTGCATCCCAAACAAACATCTCATCCAAAAATACATAGAATGGAGATAAGAACACAACATGAATCCAGAAACATGAAATAACCACAGTACAATGGGACTGTATGGCTTATTGTTTGTATAAACAAAGTTCTGAGGTGCCCGTATTTTTAATGAAGTTGGTCTCCAAGCAAAAGGCTCCACGTGAACTTGCAAGACAGAAACACCTCAACATCAGTAAAAGAGGTGTGGTGGTAGCCAAAGTTTAGTAAAAAACCAAGCAATGTTGTACTAAAGGTTGTGGCATGCCGCAAACAGCTAGAAAATTATTTTATATGAACCAGCGGCTGCAACACCCCAGTGGAAGCACTTACTAACACAGGGCTCACCAGAATCAACTAAGCATAGCCTATGTTATGCGTTGGCCCTCCGTTATAGAATTGGTTCAGTTTGTTTGTCCCCATCCAAAGCATGCATTGATCATGAAATTGCTACACGCAACATGTTCTTTGTTTTGCACATGTCCTCACCAAAGTTCTAAATGGCAGGCTATGGCAAATAGCGGCCAAAGCGTTAGCACGCTAAATTGGCGCTATAACGCGATGCCCCTCCAAACGCTATAGCACTGAGATAGCGCGCTATTTAAAACTGTGGTCCTCACAGTTAACATGGTATCTAACTATCAAGAGCAGATTAAATTATAGCAGGATAATGTGCTTCAGAATTTCTTTGTTTCTTATGGAACAAAGCAAAGGCACTATACGAGCCTGGAAAAGTTTTGGTCAAATAGTACCACATGTCGTTCATTTCATTCTATAACTCAAGTTGCATCTCATTCTAAAGCACATACTATGGTTCCAAACTTGTGCATGATAGGTGCCAGAATGGCCACATCATCTCTAATAATAGAGGAACAAATTTAGTTGATTCTGGTGGAACTCATACAAAATTCCCAACAAACATTAAATGGGTCCTGCCTAAAATCAACCGGCAGAAATCGTTTCATCCGACCTCATCCAAATCATTCATAAACGAATATAAAAAATAGCCAATCACAGTCAATTTGAGCCCAAATCCTGAGTCGAAAGGCCATGTTAGTTCATTGCTATCAAACATGAACAGTATGTCTGACAGAAAAGAAGGCAAATGGGGACGCTGCCACCAAATCCCAATGGAACCCGTTTCAAACTTTCAATTGGATACCCCACTAACGATTCACCTAATTTGTTGGTTTCGCTCGGAGCAATCATCCCATTTCGACCAGCCATACATAAACACCTAACAGCAGAAAAAAATAAATCTAGGGTTGAAGGAGCAGCTACCACAGGCCAAGCAAGCGGTCAGAAGTGGGGAGGCGCGGAATATTTGCTAGGTGCGGCTGTGATTACCGAGTCCTTGAGGACGAGACGCGTGCGGCGCATGAACTGCTCGCGCATCTGCTTGCGTCGGCGGTTCGGGAGGTTGTCGCGCGGAATGGCGAAGCGCTCGCGGTGTGGCACGCCCTCCCCGATCTCGTGCAGCTCGCCGTCCACCGCCCACCACTCCGACTTCTTCGCGCCCATCACGGCGGCTGGGCGGGCCTTCTGCGACCAGCCAGTGCCGCCGGTGACGAAGCCGCCCCGGCGGTGCGCCCACCGCCGCTGGGTGTACAGACACCGCAGCATCCTTTGGGTCATGAAATTGCTTCGTCCCCTGTCCCCTCTTCGGTCTCAGGGTTTAGCTCGGTGCGGAGTAGGGCCAGGAATTATTAGGAGAGATAATTTTTTTGTAGGTTTTTGTTTTTGCCACTCTAGGTATTTTTTCTCCAAATTTTCTTATGCCACTCTAAGAAAATCTCCGACCGTTGGCCCCCCAAGCGGCTCGAAAAATCGCCGTGTGGGGGCGGACCGGCAGTAAAATCAGCCTGGGGGACAAATTTTCGGCGAAACAGTGCATTACATCGGCGAACTGAAATAGTTTCTTACATAGATAAAATACTTAAAAATAAATAAACGTGACTACAGGCCGAATAAGGCACCGAGAGAGGCGAAGTCGCTGCCGTCGCCTCCGCCGCCGCCGTTGTCCTCGTCGTCCTTCTCCTCCTTCACACGGTCGCCCGTGCTAGACCCCTGCCCGGCGTCGCCCTGGTGGACCGGTGGTGGCGGCGCGTCATCGTCGCTGTCGTCGAGGACGACGACGCCTCCCTCTTCCCGGCCACGGTGCCGAGCCTCGAACCGCTCGTAGGCGAGGCGCTGGCGCTCCAGCTTCGTCCGCGCCCAGTCGTCACGTGCCCACTTCAAGGCCGTCGCGTCGTCGAGCTCCTCCTTAACGCCGCCGGCAAGCCCTGGCTCCGTCTTCACGGCGGCGAGCCCCGGCTCCGTCTTCGGTTTGACGTAGCGCGGAGAAGCCGAGGAGGAGGCGCGCCCGCCACCCTTGTTGATGACGATGCGGGCGTTGCGGGTGCGCCGGCCGAGCGGCGTCTCTGCTGCGTGGGTTCGGCCTTGACGTTGAACACCGCCGGCGAGCTGGAGGAGTGGGAAGAGGTGTGGGAGGAGTGAGAGGAGGAGCCGAACCTCCTGGGCATCCATTGCCCGGCGCTCCAGCGGGGGATCGGGGCGGCGGCCGCGGCAGGGTATGCCAACGGCGGGTCATTGCCGCCCTCGAGGTACTGGAGTACCTTGTGGAGCGTGCAACTGGGGGCGCCCCACCATAGGCGGCGCCCCTCATTGTTCTTGACGCCCCCACCATCGTTGCCCCGTTGGTGGACGCCAGCCGTTGCGCCTGTCGGCGCTGAAAGTACGCCGCCCACGACGCGTGGTTGTCAGCGGCGTACCGCGGGAGGGTGCGCTGCTTCTCCGGCAGCGACGCCCGCACGCGATCAACCTCAGCGGGAAGAGGTCGGGGCGTGCGTCGACGTCGGGCACCGGGGGAATGGGGACTCCACCAGCGCTGAATCTCCACCCCTGATACGTCTCCATCGTATCTACTTTTCCAAACACTTTTGCCCTTGTTTTGGACTCTAACTTGTATGATTTGAATGGAACTAACCCGGACTGACGTTGTTTTCAGCAGAATTACCATGGTGTTGTTTTATGTGCAGAAAACAAATATTCTTGGAATGGCCTGAAAATCCACGGAACATCTTAGAAAAAATAATAAAAAAATCCTCGCCAAAGATGAAGACCAGGGGGCCCACAACCTTCTCACGAGGGTGGGGGCGCCCCCCCAGGACGCGTCCCCTACCTCGTGGGCCCCCTATTGCGTCTCCGACTCCAACTCCACCTCCATATATTGAGTTTCGATGAGAAAAAAATCAGAGAGAAGAAATCATCACGTTTTACGATACGGAGCCGTCGCCAAGCCCTAAACCTCTCGGAAGGGTTGATCTGGAGTCCGTTCGGAGCTCCGGAGAGGGGGGTTCGTCGTCATCGTCATCATCAACCATCCTCCATCACCAATTTCATGATGCTCACCGCCGTGCGTGAGTAATTTCATCGTAGGCTTGCTGGACGGGGATAGGTTGGATGAGATTTATCATGTAATCGAGTTAGTTTTGTTAGGGTTTGATCCCTAGTATCCATTATGTTCTGAGATTGATGTTGCTATGACTTTGCTATGTTTAATGCTTGTCACTAGGGCCCGAGTGCCATGATTTCAGATCTGAACCTATTATCTTTTCATGAATATATGTGAGTTCTTGATCCTATCTTGCAAGTCTATAGTCACCTACTATGTGTTATGATCCGGCAACCCCGAAGTGACAATAATCGGGACCACTCCCGGTGATGACCATAGTTTGAGGAGTTTATGTATTCACTATGTGCTAATGCTTTGTTCCGGTTCTCTATTAAAAGGAGGCCTTAATATCCCTTAGTTTCCAATAGGACCTCGCTGCCACGGGAGGGTAGGACAAAAGATGTCATGCAAGTTCTTTTCCATAAGCACGTATGACTATATACGGAATACATGCCTACATTACATTGATGAATTGGAGCTAGTTATGTGTCACCTTATGTTATGACTGTTACATGATGAACCGCATCCGGCATAATTATCCATCACTGATCCGGTGCCTACGAGTTTTCCATATACTGGTTTACGCTTATTTACTTTCCCGTTGCTATTGTTACAATCACTACAAAAAACCAAAAATATTACTTTTACTGTCTTTACTTTTGTTGCTGCTACCACCACTATCATATTACTTTGCTACTAAACATTTTGCTGCAGATACTAAGTTTCCAGGTGTGGTTGAATTGACAACGCAGCTGCTAATACTTGAGAATATTCTTTGGCTCCCCTTGTGTCGAATCAATAAATTTGGGTTGAATACTCTACCCTCGAAAATTGTTGCGATCCTCTATACTTGTGGGTTATCAAGACTAATTTCTGGCGCCGTTGTCGGGGAGCATAGCTCTATTCTTTGAGTCACTTGAGATTTATATCTGCTGGACACTACGAAGAACTTGACAGATCCAAAAACCAAGATCTATCCCTCAACTATGAGGGGAGGTAAGGAACTGACATCTAGCTCTGCACTTGATTCACCTTCTGTTATGAGTAAGTTAGCGACACCTACATCTGCTTCTGCTATGCGTTCTGATATGTCGCATGTTATTGATGATGCCACTTCTGCTATGCATGATACTTATAACGAAACTGCTTCTATGCCTGATACTACTGTGCCCCTTGGTGAATTTCTTGATGAACAAATTGCTAGGGCTAGAGAAAAAGAAATTATTGAATCTGAATACGATGATGATAGTGATGATGAAAATATGCATATTATTCCTGAGGGTTATCTTTTTGATATGGAATCTTCTGCCGCTATTTTTGCTTGCAAAGATAGATATGAGCTTAAGAGGTTATTAATTAAATGGAACAAAGAATCATTTAGAGATAAAATGAGACCTGACCCTGCTTTTGCTACTTCACCTATATGTGTTCCTGATAAAGATTATGAATTCTCTGTTGATCCTGATATAATTACTTTGGTTGAATCTGATCCGTTTTATGGCTATGAATCTGAAACTGTTGTGGCACATCTTACGTAGTTAAATGATATAGCTGCCCTGTTCACTAATGATGAGAGATCGCGTTACTTTTATATACTCAAAATATTTCCGTTCTCATTAAAAGGTGATGCTAAGATATGGTTTAATTCTCTTGATCCTGGTTATGTGCGTAGTCCCCAGGATATGATTTATTACTTCTCTGCTAAATATTTCCCTGCTCATAAGAAACAAGCTGCTTTGAGGGAAATATACAACTTCATGCAAATTAAATCCCACAAGCTTGGGGGAGGCTTCTCAAGTTACTTAATGCTTTGCCTGATCATCCTCTTAAGAAACCTGAAATACTTGATATCTTTTATAATGGACTAACCGATGCTTCCAGAGATTACCTGAATAGTTGTGCTGGTTCTCTTTTCAGGGAAAGAACACCGGATGAAGCTGAAATTTTATTGAATAATATGTTGACAAATGAAAATAATTAGGCACCTCCTGAGCCAGCTCCTGAGCCATCTCCTGCTCCAATTAATGATCTTATTCCTAAACCAACTCCGAAGAAGAGATGTGTTCTATTTTTCAGTCCCGAAGATATGCAAGAGGCAAAGAAATCCATGAAAGAAAAGGGTATTAAAGCTGAAGACGTTAAGAATTTACCTCCTATTGAAGAAATACATGGTCTTAATATACCGCCCGTTGAAAAAACATATGATCTTAATTATTTATTTACTGAAGAACCTCCTGATCCCGATATCTCGACACAGGTAGTAAAGGTAAATTCTCTCCATAGATATGATAAAGCTGAAATTCCTCCTACTAAAATTACTAGTCAGTGCTTGGATGAGTTTGATAACTTTATGTATAAGCAAGACGACTTCAATGCTTATTTTGGTAGACAATTAAAAGAAAATGCTTATATGATTAGACGCTTGGGTGATTATATGGCTAATATTAAAGGTGAACTTAAACTTGTTAGCAAACATGCTTCTATGGTTACCACTCAAGTAGAACAAGTACTTAAAGCTCAAAAAGAAGTGCTAAATGAAATGAATAGTAAAAAAATGATTATGATGTTAGAGTGGCTACTAGAACTGGTAGAATGACTCAGGAACCTTTGTATCCTGAAGGCCACCCTAAGAGAATCGAGCAAGATTCTCAAAGAAATAATATTGATGTTCCTAGTTTTTCTAAAAAGAAGAAGAAGAAAAATGATAGAACTGCGCAAACTTCTAGTGAACCTATTGCTGAACCACCTGATAATCCAAATGATATTTCTATGTCTGATGCTGAAACACAATCTGGTAATGAACATGAACCTAGTAAAAATATTAATGAAGATGTTCATGATGATGCTCAACCTAGTAATGATAATGATGTAGAAATTGAACCTGTTGTTCATCTTGATAACCCACAATTAAAGAATCAACATTATGATAAAAGAGACTTTGTTGCTAGGAAACATGGTAAAGAAAGGGAACCTTGGGTTCAGAAACCCATGCCTTTTCCTCTGAAACCATCCAAGAAAAAGGATGATGAGGATTTTGAGCGCTTTGCTGAAATGATTAGGCCTATCT